GAGAAAATGGACTGACCAAGGAAAGGAAAAAAAAAAAAAAAGGATGGTGGAAGTATTGTTCAATGTGAATAATTATGTTCAAGACGTTACTTCTCTAGATCAGGTTTGAATACTATTAGGTTGTACAACAGTGCGGTGTCTTGCCTTGGTGTCACTCAGGGCTCCCTTCAAGGAAGGTTGAGGTGCTTCAGGGTGTTGGTCTCATAGAGAGGACACTGGATTTTCAGTGTCCTCAAGGTTGGTAAAGCCCACTTTGTGTCCTGGAGGCCTCGTAGAGACTTGGAAGGATTGAAGTCTCAAATCCTGGGTCCAGGTTTTGCAGACAACCAGCATACTGATTGTGCAGGTCTTCCTGTCACCCAAGGTTCTTATCCAGGGTAGGTTGACTAGTCCCAGGGTGTTGTTCTCATAAAGAGGAAACTGGATTTTCAGTTTTTTTGGTCCTGGAGGCCTCGTAGAGACTTGGAAGGATTGAAGTCTCAAATCCTGGGTCCAGTTTTGCAGACAACCAGCATACTGATTGAGCAGGTCGGTCACCCAAGGTTCTTTCCAGGGTAGTATTGAGGTCCCAGGGTGTTGTTCTCATAAAGAGGAAACTGGATTTTCAGTTTCCTCAAGTTGGGTAAAAACCAGTTTGTGTTCTGGAGCGCGGAGGCTTTGTAGAGGACTTGGACGGTTGACGCCTCGGTCCAGGTTTTGCAGACAACCAGCATATGGATTGTGCAGGTCTTCGTGTCATCCAAGGTTCCCATCCAGGGTAGGTTCACTGGTCACATGGTGTTCGTCTCAAAGACAAAACTGGATTTTCAGCTTCCTCTAGATTGGTAAAGCCCACTTTGGGTCCTGGAGGCCTCGCAGAGACTTGGAAGGATTGAAGTCTCAAATCCTGGGTCCAGGTTTTGCAGAAAACCAGCATACTGATTGTGCAGGTCTTCGTGTCACCCAAGGTTCTCATCCAGGATAGGTTGACTGGTCCCAGGGTGTTGGTCTCAAAGAGGAAACTGGATTTTCAGTTTCCTCTACATTAAAGGAAACTGGAATTTCAGTTTCCTCTACATTAAAGAGGAAACTGGAATTTCAGTTTCCTCTAGATTGGTAAAGCCCACTTGGGTCCTGGAGCCTGGAGGCCTCGTAGAGACTTGGAAGAATTGAAGTCTCAAATCCCGGGTCCAGGTTTTGCAGACAAATATCATACCGACTGTGTAGGGCCAGGGTTCTCATTCAGGTAGGTCTTGAGGCTCCAGGTACTTGTCTCATACAGAGGAAGTTAGAGTTTCAGTTTTCTCAAGGTTGGTAAAACCTGTTTTGGGTCCTGAAGGCCAGAGGTTTCATAGAGACTTAGGAGGGCTGAAGTCTCCCATCCTGGGTCCAGGTTTTGCAGACAATCAGTACACACATAGGTGTGTATGGAGCTTGTATTAGGGAGGAGACTAGTATTCAGGGCTCCATCCACCCTGGTGGACAGGGGAGGTCTCTGAGCAGGAGTCAGTTGGGATCCACCAAGGAGACAGGTGGGAGCCACTGCAGCAAGGAGCTGCTAGCCATATGCATTGCATTTGTGTGGGAGGAGACAGACAAGGACCTGAGGATTGATGCCAGGTCAGCTGTGCTGCAAATGTAAGCTAGGAGGCTGATGAACATTTTTGATGAACATTTTTTTTTTTTTTTTTAAGAAGAAATGCTGAAAAACCCCAGCAAGGGAAACACGTTTTTAACTGGAACATGGTATTTGTAAAAGTCGGCACAAAGAGAGTCCTTAATGCTGTTTGAAGCCGATTCTCAGTTGTTAAGGGTGACACCTTCCATCGCGTTAGTGCATATTTAGTGCAGACCAAGGTGATGGAAAGTGTCACCATTAACTGAATGCAACACATTCGGGCAAATCATTTCTTCACTACAAGGTATGTGAGATACCATAAAGGAGATCTTCACCTTCAAATGAAAAGTCCCTTCTCCTCTCGATAAATATCGACTATTTTTTTTTTTTTTTACGATTTTTTTCTGAAAAAAATGGTTCAGCCCCTACTCCAATATATGTAATTTGCCTAGGCGGGTGTTTTTTATTCCACAGAGGAGGGGTTGGGCCTAGCGGTGCATCATCTGGTGGCCCACCAGCTGAATCCAGTAGAGCCAGTTACATAGTAAGTCTGGTTGAAAAAAAGACAAAAGTCCATCCAGATCAACCATAGAAAATATAAAAAAAATGATAATCCTATATCCACAGTTGATCCAGAGGAAGGCAAAACAAAAGTGGGCTTCCCGATGACGTTACACACAAACATGGCGCCGCGGGACCTGAGCGGCAACTGCTGAGAAGAGGATCTCGTTAGGACAGCACTGGATCCGATGGGTGGGTGAGTATCTAAACTGCGGGGATCCTGCCGCAAGGTGAGCAGGGGTTAAAAAAAAAAGAAGAGAAGGTGGAAAGGTGAAGACCCACTTTAATTAAAAATTCTTGGTTTATCATCCCAAGGCAGGGGCGGACTGACCATTTGGAAAC